TAGCAGCCAGCCGGCCAGGCCCTCATACACTTCTCCTTATCCACTGTCCCCAAATAAGAGACAATAGAGATGTGCTGTTCCAACAAGAAGGAGGGAGGAAGCTTTGGAGGAGAAACAAGCACCAAATGGCTATCAACTCCCAGCAAGTTTGGGAGTGGTCTAATACCCAGAATACAATTTATTGGCAACCCCAACCAGCACTACATCCTATCCCTCCCCACAAGTACTGGAGGCAGGCTACATTAAACAGAGCATTCATGGAGAGGCTAATGTGGAATCCCAAATTCCAGAAAGAGCGAATAAACAAAAATCACTAGATATTCATGGAAAACCACCACCATAAGGAAAAATGAACCAAATTCAACAAATAGAAGATGCAAATGCAACAATTAAATGCATTCCCTAGGACGAGCAAGTGGATTTTTTTTAAAAAAGTGTAATTGTCCTAAGAATAGTAAGACAAACTATCAAATGCTTGAAATAGGAATAAGTTTTTTTTTTTTAAGAGGGAACTTAAGGGAAAAGAAGAAAAACCAATAAACAGGCTAAATAGGAGATACAGTTGAATAGCAAATAATGACTTAAAAGATTGAACCAAGTAGTTCTCCTAGGGTGTAATACAAAAGGACAAAGAGATGGAAACTAAGAAAAGCTTTTTTGTTTTTTCCTTTTTTGGATAAGAGATCAAAAGGGGATGTCAGGGAAGATGGTGGAGTAGGAAGTGCCAGGAATCCATCTCTTCACCTAGACAAAAATTTTATTGACAGAATCTGTCTGATGTAACTATTTTGGAATTCTGCAGTCTATTTGAAGACTTGGAGCTTTCAGGTGAAGGCTTGGCCAGTAAGTTGTGGTTAATTTCAGCGGTTGTTATGGTAGAGACTACCCATCACCAACCCCCTAGACCTGTGGCAGGCAGCCATACCTACGTTCCTAAACAGGCTTGCAGGAACCAGAGTGGGCAATGCTTGATGAGTTTTGGTATAGTATCAAAGGAGAATATGCACAATTATATGAAGAGGCTATTAAAATACTCCTGCCTCTTAAATTACATATCTTTGTAGGGCTAGACTGTCTTCATATACTTCAACCAAACAACATATTGCAACAGATTGAATGCAGAAGTAAATATAAGAATCCAACTGTCCTCTTCCAGGCCATATAGTGAAGAGATTTGCAAACATGTAAAAGAGTGCCACTCTTCTCACTAAATATTTTTTTGTTTTGTAAAATATAGTTAGTGTTTAATAAAACGTGATTCATGTTAACATCTCATGGGTTTATTATTGTTATTTTTAGTAAATTAATAAATATTTTAGGTGTCTCTGTTTTAATTTCAAACACGGTGAATATTGGTAGTCTGAACCTCAGAAACAAAAGCTCTTTGGTGTTCTCAGTAATTTTTAAGAGTGCAACAGTGTTTTGAAACCAAAAAAGTCTAAAAACTGCTGTTCTACAGTGTCACAATCAGCTTGCACCACCCATGCACATATAACTTCCTACTAGCTTTTTAGTTCCTGACTCTTAAATATAAGCTGACAGGCAATGGTCACCAGTTATTTAAGGAAATAATTTTAACCATATAATATGAAAAAGTAGGAACCATTGAAAATAAAGAAAAAAAAGATTATTCAAAGAAAAGAACATCTCAAATAAATTAATATCAATTTCTCCATAAAAATAAAAGGTAACATTCATTCAATAAAAACAAGATGCTATTTAAAAAGAAAGGAACCTCCAGAGGATGAGACAAATAGTTCTTGGAAATTAATAATGAGAGAATGGTAATGGAAAACATAATAAAAGGATTAGTAGGTAAAGTTGAACAGTTCTTTCAAAATCTAAAGCAAAAAGACCAAGTGATGAAAAATAAGAAAGAAAAGATAGAGAACTGTCCAGGAAGTTTAGTATCCAAAAAATTGGAGTTCCCAGAAAGAGAGAACAGAGAAAAGAATGGGTAGGAAATTATCAAAGAAATAATCCAAGAGAACTTTCCTGATTTAAGATTCACTGAGTGCTTAGCACAGTGAATAAAAATAAATCCATACCAAGACACATCACTGTGAAAATTTCAAAGAGGATATCCAAGAGCCTCCAAGGAGTAAAAACAGGGCTTATGTAAAAGATCAGGATTCATAATAGCATAGGACTTCTGAAGAACATCACTGGAAGCTAAAAGACAGTAGAACCACGCTTTAACAATTCTGTAGGAAAATGACCAGAACTCTATACTCGCCAAAGTATCAATCAAATGTGAGAGAGTAAAATAAAGATATTTTTAAACTTGCAAGGTCTCAAATACTTTATCTCTGATGTACCTTTTCCCACATAAGAAGAATAAACCAAGAAATAAAATATGGGATCCAAGAGAGAAGTGAAGGAAATCACCAGGATGGAGATCCCAAGATAATAAGTGTACAGAGGGAATAGAAAGCAACCTGTCCAAATTGGAACAGGTCAGGAGGTTCTAAGAGAAATTTCTTGAAGATTAAAGTGGTAGAATGTCAGATATGTTTGAAGGTATTACAAGGAGATTACACACTTCAATGGGAGTTTGGGGTTAAAATAATAATCAGTGCAAACAAGCAAACCAAGTAACAGTCATTAAACCCAGGGAAAAACAACATATTGAATATCTAAAATATAAGTTAGGCTTGAAAATGGTTGCCTCTGAGATCAGAAAATGGGAATGGGAGTGCTCTTTTAAAAGCTACTGTTTTTCATAAGCTTTGAAGAGTTATTTGATTATTTATGGTAGTTGTAACTATAAGTTTGATAAAAGTAAGTTAAAAAAAAATATCCCAGGCTCTTACAATGGTCTACAAAAGCCTGACTTCTCTTCCCCTCCCACATTCACCGTGGTCTCGCCACCTTGGCCTCCTTGCTGTATTCGGATACTCAGAGACTTTGCATTTGCTTTGTGTCTGCTTGCAACATTTTTCTCCCAGATGTGTACATGGTTTGTTCATATACTTCCTTTACATCTCTGCTCAAACGTTCCCCTCAGTCAGTTCTCGCCCTCCTTAACCTGTCAGTGTGCTTTACTTTTCAGCGTGGTGCTTGATATCATCCTGGCATTTCATTCTCTCCATTACTAGGCTTTGTCTTTGCCTTTGTATCATGAACACCACAGGCAGCCTTGAATATAGTGAGGGTTCAAAAAATATTTATTAAACGAATAAAAATACATTCACTGAAGAGGACATACAGTGGATAACAAAGAAACATACTCAATCTCGAAAGTTATCAGGAAAATGCAAGTGAAAGCAATGGGATAATTTTTGTCCAGATTAGCAAGAAATAAAAATAACGAGAATAATATCACTGGCAAGAGTGGAAAGGTAAATTGGTAGTCTTTTGGAATGCAATTTAATATGCAAATATTCACTGACGCACAGTCGGGCCTGTGCAGGGACACCACTGCAGCAGAGTTTGTAATAGTGAAAAATTAGGAGAAACCTAAATGCCTGTAAATAGAGGCACTGTTAAATTATAGGACACATACTTTTTAATAATAGCAAGTCCAAAAATTGAGGGACTGTATGTTCTATATCGTGGTTCCATTTCTAAGTTTCTAGATTTATGATTATATATGAAAATACCTAGAAAAAGATCTAATAGCATACATCCCAAACTTTCATTTTATTGATCTCTAGTTCATTCTTGCATTTAACATCTATTTCTTGAGCATGTAGTATGTGTAAGGAGTTGTCCCCACGTGCTAGGAATAGAGCAGTGAGCAGAATAGAGAAAAACGCCTGCGCTCCTAGAGCTGATATCCTAGCAGGGAGAAGCAGACCAGGAACAGTAAACAAGTAAATACATTATAGGTCAGTGATGAAAGGACCCTGGAGGAAAGTGAATCAGGGTGAGAGAGAGAGAAAGTACACAGAGGGGTAGGAGGGCACTCGCTGTGTTAAGCTCTGCTGTCCAGTGGAACTTTCTGCGGTAACAGACAGGTCCTGTAAATATGCGTCATCCAATACTGTGAGCCACTAGCCTCATGTAGCTGTTGAACACTTGATATGTGGCCAGTGCAACTGAAGAATGGAATTTTAAATTTTATTTCATTTAAATTAATGTAAATTTAAATCGCCACGTGTGGCTTGTTGCCACAGTATTGTCGGTGCGTTTATATGGGATGGTCAGGGAAGCCTTCACATAAAGCAACATTTGAGCTGAGACCTATAAGAAATGAGGCTAGCCATGTGTTCCAGGCAGAATGAACAAGAGGGCCTTATCTGGAGTAGTTGGAGGCCTGTAAGGCCGGAGCAGAATGAGCAGGGGTAAGTGTGGAAGGAGATGAAGCCAGAGAAACAGAGGGGGCCCCATCATGGAAGGCCTCCGCGGCTAGTGTAAGACTGTGTGTGTGCTCTGTGTGAGAAGTGAAGCCATTGCAAAGCTTTGAGCAGACCAGTGAAGTGATCTGATTTTTTTAAAAGGTTGCTGGAACTGTTCTGATGGTAAATGATGAGGGTGAGGGCAGAAGCAGGGAAAAACTTCGGAGGCTCGTACAGTAACCCAGGCTGAATGTGAGGTTGAATTAGGGGGCAGTGATGAAAGTGTAGAGAAGTAGTCAAGTTAATTGACAGTAATTACCGCTGGATCAGATAAGGGGCATGAGAGAAAGTGAGGAGTTGAGGTTGAACTTCAAAGGCTTTGGCCTGAGCTCATGAGATTGGGAGCACTGGGGGAAGACAATATTTGGGGAACAAATTCCAGAGCTCTGTTTTGGGCATGGTAAGTTGAAGGTGCCTATAGATAGTTATGCCCAAGTCCTGACAACGAGTGACTTTAAAATGGGAGCTTCAGCTGAAGAGTTTCTTCCTAGAGAATTGAGTAAGAGAAGAGAGTTCATAGATGGGTTCGGGTAGCCCTCTTTGTGTGCGAGGCAAAGCAAGTGACCTGTCATCAGCCTTTTCAGCATGAAGATTTTATGTCTCTAATTAAACGTGGCTCTAATATTTGGGTAATTATTTCTTATTTTATTTAATCCGTAGAATGGCTCCTGAACGAGTAAGGTCCCTGTCACGAGTTTGTGTCCCACTTGTTACTCTGCCAGATTTTGAACCACTGGTGTTGGCTCTGCTCACCTGCCATGGACATGAACCTCAGGAGGTGCTGTGGCCTGAGTTCTTCGGTGCTGTGAATGAGGCCTTTTTGCTGTAAGTGATGTCTATTTACCCTATCATCCAACTTTGTTTTTCCTTTTCTTAGAATACTTCAGTATGTTGGAAATGCAGTTTTCAAACGTTTTGGTCTCAGTGCTACTTTACCCTTTTAAAGATTATTGAGGATCTCAATGAGCTTTTTTTTTAAACGGGGGTTATATTTATCAATATTTATCATACTTGAAATTAAAACAAATTTTTTAAATATTTATTACTTCATTTTAAAATAACAATAAATTGATTACACGTTAACACAAATAGCATATTTTTATGAAAAACAATGATCTTTTCCAAGAAAAAAAATGTTTAATAGGAGTGGCATTGTTTTACATTTTTGCAAATCTCTTTATTGTCTGATGTAGAAGACAGCTTTGTTCGCCTACATGTTCTGCATTCAGTCTGGTGTGATGTGTTGTTTTAGTTGAAGCATATGAAGGAAAATCCAGCCTTACACAGATATGTAGTTGGAAAAGAGGAATATTTTAATAATATTTTAAATATTTAGATATTAAATATTTTAAATAATTTAGAATATTTTAAATTCTTCAGTAGAATAATTGTAAATATTCTCCTTGGATACCCTACCAAAATTTGAAAATGGTAGTTTTTTAAAGGTTAGCTGCAATGTGGAATCTGAAATTATATGAATGAGCTTTTCATACTGTTAAATTAAAATGCATTGATCTGTCTTGCGCTTTCACTGGATCTTTTGCCCAGGCAGGATTGTGTAGCCTTGTGCATGGTGCATTTGGAAATATTGGTTCATTAAGTTATGCAGATCTTCCAAACATTTGACACATTTCATTTTACAGTATCAAAACTGACATTCATTCCCATCACCACTAATCTCATCAGAAATGTCTTTAAGTATTGGGGAGCTGTCAAGCTCATGTTGGCGGAAACAAATTTTCCAAGATTCTAATTTCTGCTTAAGAATTCAAATTTAGCATTGGCTACAAATACTGTCAGTTGTTTTCCTTGAGGTACTAGGGTCACTTTGCTAATTTTTGAGAAAGTATGTGCCAAACACTCAAGTGTGAGTAACCATTGTTTGTCTGCCAGTCATTCTTTCAAGTCAATTTCCATGAAAAAAAAATGTCGCTAGTTGATCTGGCAGCTCAAACAGTCAGACAGGTATTTTTCTTCTAGACAACCATAGTTTTTATGTCACAGAGGTGCTTTATGCATACTTTCCTTCTCACCACACAGAATTTTTTTTAATAAAAAGTATTCTCAAGGGTAAAATTTAATAAGGTTAATATTTTATACTGCTTCACCAAACACATTTTTATGTGAAACTGGCAGTGTCTTTACTGTGAGTATGGAGTGGTGAAGAACACACTGACTGCCATCCCTGCTCTGATTTGTGCCCGGCACTGCAGTTTTACCCACAATTGCTTCTGCACTGTGAGTGCAAACATTAGCACAGTTGTTCAGGAAAAACCATGAGACTCAAAATAATTATTCAACACTTTAAGTATTTCTATACCACGTGTATATATTGCCAGTTTCACCTAAAAGAGCTCCTGTCCTTAGTTGGTGCTGATACCATATGAATACAAGCAACACAGCTAGTCCAGCCATATCTAGAGATTCCATTTTAAGGCAGAAATACAGTTCTGTTGATGAAATGTTGACTTATCACATCTACGTTTGAATTATTTAATTCCTTTTTGTTTGGACTCTGAATGATTGGTCTCAAATTGATGCCGCAGTTAACTAGCACTATAATGGTATTTGAAAACATTTTATTGAATGAGACACAATCAGGTAAATTATCAACATCTATAAAGCCAAGGAAAGAATAACTTTGCTCATATTTGCTTTTCATTGATAGTTTAGCCCACTTCCTTTGCAGTAGATGTCTCCCTCCCATGAGTCAGAGAAATCTCTGATGTATTGTTTTCATCTTTTCCCAGTGAAACAGCTGTGGAATGAGAAAGTGAATCTTTTAATTCCCTTTGTAAAGCCAATGGTCCATTCTCAAATATAATAAAATTTATAAATAAATTTTATTTTTGAATAAAATATCATTAAATTCTGTTTAAAAATCTAAAAATATGTTATATTTATATATAAATAAAAATATAAATACATATATTTATATCTAAAATAATTTATATAAAATTACAAAAGTTTTCAAAAAATTTTAAAATAGTGTTGCAAAGTAAGATGACAAAGTGTACTCATTCCATGTTCTTGTTTCCCTTTCTTGTGCCTACAAGAGCAAGTATCAGAATATTTATTTTTTTTTTTACATTTTTTTCCAGCTTTATTGAGATATAGTTGACATATAACATTGTGTAAGTTTAAGAAGTGCAATGAGTTAATTTGACACAGTTTCATGTTGCAAAATGATTACCACCATAGGGTTAGCTAACAGCTTGATCATGTCACATAATTACCATGTCTTTTTTGTGATGAGAACATTTAAGATTTACTCTTTTAGCAGTTATTTCACTTAGCATAATGCCCTCAAGGTCCATTCATGTTGTCACAAATGGCAGGATTTCCTTCTTTCTCATGACTGAGTAATATTCCATTATATATGTATGTATATGTATATACATATAAATATGCCACATTTTCTTTATCCACTCATCTGTTAATGGACACTTAGGTTGTTTCCATACCTTGACTATTATGATTAATGCTGTAATAAACATGAGAGTCAGATATCTTTTTGATATCCTGTTTTCATTTACTTTGGATATATACCCAGAAGTGGGATTGCTGGATCATGTGGTAGTTCTAGTTTTAATTTTTTGAGGAACCTCCATTCTGTTTTCCATAGTGGCTACACCAATTTGCATTCCCACCAACAGTGCACAAGGGTTCCCTTTTCTCCATGTCCTCGCCAAGACGTATCGCTTCTCTTTTTGATGATAGCTATTCTAATCAGTGTGAGGGGATATTCATTGTGGTTTTGATTGACATTTCCCTGATTATTAGTGATGTTTAGCACCTTTTTTTGTACCTGTTGGACATTTGTATGTCTTCTTTGGAAAAATGTCTATTCAATTCCTCTGCCCATTTTCTAATTGGATTGTTTGGGGTTTTTTGCCATTGAGTTATAGGATTCTTTATATTTTTTGGATATTAACCCCTTATCAGATATATGATTTGCAAATATTTTCTGTCATTCTCTAGGTTGCTTTTTCATTGTGTTGATGATGTAGAAGCTTTTCGCAGTGTGGAAGCTTTTTAGTTTGATGGAGTCCACTTTTTATTTTTACCTATGTTGCCTTTGCTTTTGGTATCAAATCTGAAAAATCATTACCAAGACCAGTGTCATAGGAGATAACTATGTTTTCTTCTAGGAGTTTTATGGGGTCAGGTCTTAAACATTCAATTCTTTAGTCTATTTTGAGTTGATTTTTGTGTGGTGTAAGATAGGGGTCCAGTTTCATTCTTCTGCATGTGGCTATCCAATTTTCCCAACATCATTTATTGAAGCAACTGTCTTTTCCCCATTGTGTATTCTTGACTCCTTTGTAGTAATTTGACCATATATGCGTGGGTTTATTTCTGTATTCTCTATTCTGTTTCGTTGATCTGTGTGTCTGTTTTTATGCCAATGCCATAATGTTTTGTTACTACAGGTTTGTAATATAGTTTAAAATCAAGGAGTGTGATGCGTCTAGCTTTGTTCTTCTTTCTAAAGATTGCTTTGGCTATTTGGGGTCTTTTGTGGTTCCATACAAATTTTAGGATTTTTTTTTTTTTCTGTTTCTGTGAAAAATGCCTTTAGAACTTTGATAGGAATGGCATTGAATCTGTAGATCACTTTGGTTTCTCTGAACATTTTAACAATATTAATTCTTCCAATCCATGAGCACGGAATATCTTTCCATTTATTTGTGTCTTCTTCAGTTTCTTTCATCAATATCTTATAGTTTTCAGTGAACAGATCTTTCACCTCCTTGGTTAAATTTATTCCTAGATATTTTATTCTTTTTGATGCAATTGTAAATGGGTTTTTTTTTAGACAAACTGTTGTTAATATATAGAAACACAACTGATTTCTGTATATTGATTTTGTATCCTACAGTTTACTGAATTTGTTCATTAGTCGTAACAGTTTTTTGGTGGAGTCCTTTAGGGTTTTATATATACATCATGTCATCTACAAATAGAGACAGTTTTACTTCTCCCTTTCAGATTTGAATGCATTTTACTTTTGTTTCTTGCTTAATTCCTCTGGTTAGGACTTCCAGCACTGTGTTGAATAAAAGTGGTGAGAGTGGGCGTCCTTGTCTTGTTCCTGATCTTAGAGGAAAAGCTTTCAATTTTTCACCATTGAGTATGATGTCAGCTGTGGGCTTGTCATATATGCCTTTTATTATGTTGAGGTACATTCCCTCTATACTCACTTTGTTGAATATTTTTATCATGAATGGATGTTGAATGTTGTCAAATGCTTTTCTACATCTATTGAGATGATATGATTTTTATTATCCTTCACTTTGTTAATGTGGTGTATCACTTTGATTTGCAGATGTTGAACCATCCTTGCATGCTAGGTCATTGTGTATCATCCTTTAATGTATTATTGAATTTTGTTTGCTAATATTTTGTTGAGGATTTTTGCATCAATATTCGTCATGGATATTGGCCTGTAATTTTCTTTCCTTATAGTTACCTTATATGGTTTTGGTATCTGAGTAATGCTGGCCTTGTAAAATGAGTTTGGAAGTGTTCCCTCCTCTTCTGTTTTTGGGAAGACTTTGAGAAGGATTGGTATTAATTCTTCTTTAAATGATTGGTAGAATTCACCAGTGCAGCCATCTAGCTGGACTTTGTTCGGAATTTTTGATTACTGATTCAATGTCCTTATTAGTAATTGGTCTGTTCAGATTTTCTATTTCCTCACAATTCAGTCTTGGTAGGATATATGGTTGTAGGAATTTATCCATTTCTTCTAGGTTGTACAATTTATTGGTCTATAATTGTTCATAGCAGTCTCTTATGATCATTTGTATTTATGTGGTATC